TATTTAAAATAATAAAAATGAAACTTGTATAGTGTTCTGAAGATAATCTGTTCATAAAGAAATATTAAAGGGACCATGGTAGATATTAAAGGGCTCTTGAAATATGAAAACCACCTTTTCTTAAGAAACTAGACATGAAAAAATGTTTTCATTGAGTGTAAGGTAGTATAAGTTTATTTCTCTCTAAAGTTAAGGAAGCTGGGTGTGGTGGCACATGCTTGTAATCCCAGAGGCTTGGGAGGCTGAGGCAGGAGGATTGAGAGTTCAAAGCCAGCCTCAGCAACGTAGTGAGACCCTGTCTCTAAATAAAATATTAAAAAAGGCTGAGGATGTGGCCCAGTGATTAAATGCCCCTGGGTTCAATCCTTGGTATATAAGTAAAATAAATCCATAAGTAAATAAATCAATAAAGTTAAGGATGGTTATTGGAGGGGCTAATGTGGAAAAGTCACAGAATCACAGTGATAGGAAAAATTAACCAAGTGTCATAAGAAGTCAATGAAGTACAGGCATGGAAATACCATGGAAGCTAAAGTCCAGCCAGAAAGGTGAGGAGGAGGCAAAGGTCCACTCAACTGAACCCCGGTGTCCTGAGCTTCATACAACCTTCTGTAAAAAGTAACGTGAGTTAGGCACAGTGTTTAGCACCTGCTATCCCGTACTCAAGAAAGGAGGCCTGGGCAGCAGAGTGGAACCCAGAAAGTAAAGTCGGGGCTGGGGTATAGCTCAGTGGTAGAGCATGTGCTTACCATTTGCCCAGCCCTGGATCCACCCAGCATGGGAGGGAGCTGGGAGTAAGAGCTTGGTTTAGAAAAAGACATGATTTTTTGAGCTCAGAAGGCTTCTATATTAAGACAGGATGTAGAGAGAACTTCATAACGTATCTACGAGTTTGAAAACACATTTTGTGGTTGGTTAAGACTGTGTGAGAGCTGGGCGTGGTGGTGCACACCTATAACACTAGCGGATCTAGAGGCTGAGACAGGAGTGTGAGTTCAAAGCCAGCCTCAGCAAAGGTGAGGCAGTGAGGTTCTGAGCAATTCAGTGAGACTTTGTCTCCAAATAAAATACAAAATAGGGCTAGGGATGTGGCGCAGTGGCCGAATGCCCCTGGTCCCCCCCGCCTAAAAAAAAAAAGACTGTGACTGTGTGAGGATAGAAAGATCTAGGGAACAGGATAAGAAGAGAGGGAATGGAATGGAAGAAAGTATGGGGTAATAGGGACAGAGGAAGGTAGAGGGGAAACTACACAGGAAGAGCGAGAAGGGAGAAGGACAAGCTGGCAGACAGGCTCAGTGAGTTTCAAAGGTGCTGCTGACCAGAGCTTATGCTCTGCAGTTTACTTGAAATATGGCTGATTCTTTAAGCTTGATTAATTCTCTGAAGAGTATTCCCAGCTCTTCAGCTGCTCAAGAACTTATACCCTTAGCCTACACTCTTTATCAGGTAACATGCAGAACATTCTGCCAAGGCAGAATAAAAAAAGCTTTAACCACACTAACAAATAATCAGAGCGGGTCATCTTTAAGCCTTAAGAAATCAAATCAACGGGACATTCTCTTTCCCTGAGTTTCTCTATCCTATCCCTGCTTTGAAGAAAGGGCATTGAATTTCAGTCTGTTTTTCATTGTGGGATTTGTAATCAACACTGGATTTCTCATAATAGAAAGTTCTCAATCAGTAAAGAAGATATTTAGAAATTTAAGTCTTATGACCTCTCTTTACTTGAGACATATGCCCTACAAAAAGGAAAATTCACTCTACATCATAGGCATGAAGTTATTTAAGACAAATGGGGACCTACCAGTGACTCTGACATACTATTTGCTTTTAGTGATGACTTTTTCAGATAGCAAGTCACACTGTACCCTTGACCAGGAGCATGAGATACATGAGATAACTCCAGATCTCATGATGGAGTTAGCTCTCTTTTTGTAAAATCTCACATGTAATGTTATCATCAGTTCAAAAGCTTTATCTTCTTATTACTAGCATAAAACACAACATTCCCAGAATAGTAAATTAATTTTATTTTCATTCATATCCAAATTCAAAATGGACTAGACTAACTGCTTATTATTCATTTGGACCAGTCACATAATCTATATGGATTGTTGAGATGTCAATACGCCTACAGCAAAGATGTTTAATAAAGACTGGACTTAATAAAGATTCTCTACTTGAATTGTCGCAGCACTAGTATTTTCACTTATTTTTGCCTAATCTTGATATCACTGCTCAGTTTTAAAATTATTTTTAGTTCGTGGTCAGTCACTTGAATGCAAAATTTGGACATGATATCCAAAGAGTATCCAAAGACACCAAGGTGCATGCTAGGAGGTACCCATTATTTGTGGACCCATAATTCCAGGCCTTGTAGATATATAATCTATTGGGAAAGACAGAATATATGCAAAAGGAAAAGTAATTAGAAGCTAAAATTTATTTAATTGATCTAAATATATTTTTTATTCTTCATTTTCTTTCAGTGGTTAGAAACTAAGCTTCAGGGAGAAATATGAATAATACTCTGTTTAGATATACCTCCCTGTAGTGAGCACTTTGTAGAAACTCTCATTTAATTGTCATAATACTACTTATGAAGCAGATTGTAGATTAGGAAATGGAATCTCAGATAGTGTAAGTTACCCAGTCATTATAGTGCCTCTTTATTTTTGTAAAAATAGGCATTTTTTTTCATCTGAGAGGAAAGTGTGTGTACATATGTTTAAAATATTCCTGTAACTATGTAATTGAAAAAACTCTCAATTCAAATATATTTACTGGCCCTATGTAAAATACTTCTCATATTTGCATCTCCATATTTTCATCTACCTAACATATTCATTTGAGAGGATACTTGCCCTCCAGATGGAGAAATAAATTTAACTTACATGATGCAGAAACCAGAGACATGCAGAAATTGGTGTGCATTATAAAAGAGTGCTAATTATGAGAATCTCTTAAATCTAAAAATTCTTCCCATTGGTATAAGCCATTGCCTTGTGAAACATGGTGTTTGCATTAAAGGTGATGTTTTGGATGAATTGCTTGAAGCGTCATAATTTTCTGCAAAACCATTTCAGGGGAAGATAACTGTGAAGATTCTTGTTGCTGCGGATCAGAATAAGATATCAACAAGAGGGAATACAAGGCAGTAATGTTTTAAAAAAATAAGCACATGGGAGAAAGAAGTTGTGAAGCAAAAGAAGACAAAACACACACATACCTATTCTGATCTACACTGCACACATATCACATGTAAACATAGATGCATTTTAGGCACGTGATACTAATAACTCCATTTATGCATTTTCTGACCATATTCAATACTTTGGTCAGCTGTCTTACAGAAATAATGAATTGCTTCATTGCTTAACGGTATGAAACCCTACAATGTATAAGCATTGTGCTCGTTGATAGAGAAGATGGCCCTTGTTCTCAAGAGCTCCCAGGGTATTCTGGGAAAGATGTTACTGTAGTGTTGCAGTGAAACAGAAGAGACATTCGCAGAGAGTTTCATGCTTCCAGCAGGTGGGTAGGTGAGGGTACATCTTTGAAGACTTTCTGGGGAAAGTCTTGCTGTCTGAAGAGCAAGCAGCAGTTAGTCAATGGGAAAGGTGGGGGCCCTTCCAGGACAGGAGCTTGAAACAATGGTGTGTGCAATATGGAGCTGTTAGAGTACACAAGTCCCCTTTATCCACAGTTTTACATTCTGCAGTATTAGTTACTTGTGGTTAAATGAGGTCCAAAAATATCAAATGGAAAGTTCCAGAAATAAATGATTCATAAATTTTAAATAGTTTTTATTATACCATATTATTATAATTTTTATATTTTACTATTTTTGTTAATTTCTTATTGAATCATTTACAAATTAAAATTAATTGTAGTTATATATGTATTGGAAAGAACATGGTATATACAAGGTTTGATATCCCCGATGTCAGGCATCAGTGGATCCCCCACTGATGGCTAGTGCATTCCCTGTGGATAAGGGGACTACTGTGTAGTGAAGAGGGATAGATGAGAGGTAGATCAGACCTAGTTGGACTAACTAGACTTTAAAGTGCTCTTGGGACTTTATACTTCAAGTGATGGTGAGTCTTTGCAGGGTTTCAAAAGCATGAGTGGCAAGGTCAGATATATACCTTAGTAGATCTTTCTAGTAGCTGTGTGAAGAATGGTTTTTAGGTGGACAGAATAAGAGTTTGGGATCCAAGTTAAGAGGCTGTTATAGAGATGTGAGCAAGAGATACAGAGGAAAATGGTGGAGGATTTAAGAATTGTTTAAGAGCCTGGCTCAGTGGTGCACTCCTGTAATCCCAGTGGCTCAGGAGGCTGAGGTAGGAGGATCACAAGTTCTAGGTTAGCCTCAGCAACATAGCAAGATCCCAAGCAACTTAGTGAGACCCTGTCTCAAACAAAATTTAAAAAAACACTGAAGATGATGTAGCTCAGTGGTAAAGTACCCCCTGGTTCAATCCCCAGTATAAAAATAAAAAGGAATTGTTAATTGTTTAGAAGACAAAATAGATAAGACCTGGTGTTAATTGGATGGATCAAGATTTTTCTGAGTTTGAGCTTGAGCTTGAGTGACTGGATATAGGGATGGGCCATAAAAGATGCAAAACAAACAGGAACTGGCTGGGCAGGTGGAAGGCACGGTAGGTTTCACTCTGTCTGTGGCTTATCTAGGAAGACCCCATCAACACATGCATATTTTAGTTTACAGCTTGAGAAAGAGGCCCCTCTGGTAATACTTTTTAGCAGTTGTCAACATACAGGTATATACAACCTCATACACACAACCTCTTCTGTGCAGTGAGTGCATGGTGTTATTTTTCCCTTTACTATATCCTAAAGCAAAGATTTACATCTCCCGAAAATATGCAGTAATCAATAATATACCTCCCGGGTGTAGCAACAGAATGATCCCACAGAATAGAAAGAACCTGAAGAAAAATGCAAGTAACCAAATGGTTGTCGCTCTCTTCCAGCTGTTGGTGGAACATGCCCGCCCCCAAGGGATGTTGCTTCCGCTGACCTCGTACTTGTAAGGACCCTGCTGGCTCTGTGGCTCTGTCCAGTTCAACATGGCAGAAAAGGCACCCCCTGGCTTAAACAGGAAGACTTCAAGGTCGACACTTTCTCTTCCTCCAGAACCTGTGGACATTATCCGGAGCAAAACGTGCTCAAGGAGAGTGAAGATCAACGTGGGGGGCCTCAACCACGAAGTCCTGTGGAGGACGTTGGACAGGCTGCCCAGGACGCGTTTGGGCAAGCTCCGCGACTGCAACACGCACGAGAGCCTCCTGGAGGTGTGCGATGACTATAACCTGAATGAGAACGAATATTTCTTTGATCGACATCCTGGAGCTTTCACCTCTATTTTAAATTTCTACCGGACAGGGAAGTTGCACATGATGGAAGAAATGTGCGCGCTCTCCTTTGGCCAAGAGCTTGATTATTGGGGGATCGACGAGATCTACTTGGAGTCCTGCTGCCAAGCCAGGTATCATCAAAAGAAAGAACAGATGAACGAAGAACTGAGGCGAGAGGCAGAAACCATGCGCGAGCGAGAGGGAGAAGAATTTGATAATACCTGCTGTCCTGAGAAAAGGAAGAAACTTTGGGACTTGCTGGAGAAGCCCAACTCATCAGTGGCCGCAAAGGTATGAAAATCTGGATGTTGAGTGCCTGTGCATGGTCAGGAAAAGTGGTACCTTCCTCCCAGAGAGCATAGTTTGTTTTTGTTTTTTTTTTTTTCTTCACTGCTTTGGTAAGATAGAGCAAATTGTGCCTATTCAGACAGTGAAGAATCTTTTCTAAAATATCATTTAGTCAGATGGTGTCATTTTTCTTGTGTGATGGCCATAAAATGTTGCTGCTCTTTTATAAATATCACTGTCTATAGGAACTGGTCTAGGTAACAAGACTATGGAAAAGCACTCTGGTTTTTCTGGTGCCCTATGGTGTTGGTGACTTGGACGTTGGGGAGGAGCCTTGACCCAGACCCATCAGTCACAGAATCTTGCAGAAGACTTGGATCTGGATGTCATTTTGAACAAAGGGAAGGTGCTGTGGTTGGAAGTAGAGCAGGTGCCTCCTGGCCTGGTTTTGGGGGGTTCAGGGAAAGAGTCCCCCTGTGTGGCTCAGAGGGATAGGGACCACCCCACTCCCAGGAGGGGCTGTCTTAAGAAGCTGTAGAAGCAATGAATCAGTGTTCAGAATGCATCCATCTACTGCTCTTTGTTGAGTTCTGCTCTAACAATGGTGTTTTTGACTGTTGGTACATAATATTTTTATGATGCAGTTACTACCATATTTTAGAGTTCTTAAAGTGCTTCAGATGAAGGTAAATTCATATTTTCACTGTGCCTGCATATATCCAAATATCAGAGTAAAATTTTTGTTACAGATTTCAGTCTTTAATTGAACTGCATGATTCAGTTTATCTAATTTTATCTACAGCTTTGAGGCTTAGTGCAAACTGATTTTCATCCCATATATTTAGTTCTGTATTGCAGTATGAATGATAAGAAAAAGTCAAAAGAGTCATCTTTAGCAGCAGGAACCTAGTATCAATGTGCCCAGTGGATGAATTGGAGTATGGAATGGAGAAGGGAAGAGTGTGTCATTGTATGAATTCTCTTGATTACTTACAGTTTTTTCAAATATTCTCAGTCTCATAAACAGTAATGGTTACAGACTATCTGAGCCTTCCTATCCAAAATTAAAATTCTGCATTATAATCTACTACATAAATAATTAGCTAGGCAGATGATCATGAAACTGCTTTTTTGTGTTGTTTGATATGTCTGGTTTTGTAGCTGACTGAATTCCAAAGGCATTTTACTTTCTGGTCGGGACATGCACCTAAATGAAATAAAAATCTGTCTCTCTCATGTATATAATGAAGAAATGTATATTGGATCAAAGGGATTTCAACTAGGTGTTTTTGTAGTTATGAATCCTTTGTTTACTTTTGTTTTACCTGTAAGAAAGAAATAGATGTACCACATTTTGGGGTTTTGGTTGGGAAAAGCTATTGCTTTTTCCTATGCCAAGTGTTCAGTTACATATTTGAGTTACTACTAAAAATATGGAGTGTATTTTGAAAGTGAATGAGATAGACTCTAGATTTAAGTGAGTATTGTGGGTGTTAAATTAACTTTTTCAAGACTTTTGGCAACTGAGGAATAAATCATTGTTCCATCAGAAGTTCTAGGAGGATTCAGCTAACTCTATAAAAATGAGCAGCTAAAGCAAAGAAAAATTGAAAGGTTAATGTGATTTATTTTTTTCATAACATGATTAACATACCTCTAAAGTTAGGCACTGTTACAGAAAAATATTTCAAATGCATATGTATTTTTTTCTGAAGAATTTCAAGTAAGGCTGGAATAGGGTCAATAACCTGATTTCCACGATAAAGGTGTACATTTAATTCCTGAACTGTGAAAGAAGCCACCATTCCATGATCCCTAAGAAGGTGATGTTGATAATAATCTATTATGATATGCCCTTAGGTACCCTATACATCAGGCTATTTAAATTTGCTTCAAAGTAGGTGTGTGTGTACAAAGAAGATATTTGCCTACACACTGTACCCAGCAACTAACAACACTGCTTTTAAAAGTGTTTATGTAGTTACAAATGATCAATTTGTCTCCACATCTTTAAGGAAGCCAAGTGAACTTTGCTACCTGAACAAAGATTCTTCAATGAATTTTCATTTTCATAAAGGATTTATATTTGTTTATTTAAATGTCCGCATTTTCCTCTCTGGTTGACTGGTGAAATACTGTGGATATTATTTACATTTGAATTATATAGTAGTATAGTGAAAATATTGCTCATTTATTCATTTATTTTAAAATTATATAGTAGTATAGTGAAAATATTGCTAATTTATTCATTTATTTTAAAATTATATAGTAGTATAGTGAAAATATTGCTAATTTATTCATTTATTTTAAAATTAGGTCTATACAATATGGTATATAAACCTTTCCCTGCATGCTGCTTGAGTCATATAAACTGCTGTTTTCTGGAGTGAGTCTTGGTGAGGGCAATGCTAATGCAGGTATGTGAGAATAGTATTTTCATAATTTAAAAACAAGTAGTTTTATTATGGCTGCAGTAAGATGATACACTGGCCATCACGACACACCTAATATTATGGGTATCTCAGGCTCCTACATATGCATAAGCTCTTTTGATGCTTGAAATCTCTGTGTTCTTCCTTACTGGCTTAGGAACAGATATTCTATGAGAGAGAGTATCTGTGTATGGTGCCTTTTCAACTGTTGTTTATTTAGTTTGGCCTCTCAGTTGCATATTTGCTCTGCGTGTGCTACTTTCATTAAAATAGACCTTAGGATAGCACTCCTTGTCCCCAGAATTTTAAAAAAGTAGTCTCTTATCTTAAACATAGATTTCATATTGTTGAAAATATTTATTTTTCTCTTGGGTTTTCAATATTTTTATAATTTACCTATAATATTTCTGTAATAAAGTATAAAAGTTATGATTATTGGATATCCATAGTAGAGAAAGAAAAATTTGGCCCTTTCTAGCAGATGTTTCACAATGGGCTGAAATCTCACTGACATGGAATCGATATTTAGTAACCAATTAAGTTATAATTGTTAAGCTTATGCTATGTGCATATGCTATGATATGCAAAATTATTGCAAGTCCTATTGACCTATTATGCTCTATCTTTAGTTACAACCCTGACAATGACAATTTGGCTCTTAGAAAACAACTCCCTGGTGTAACATAAGGAGCCACTTCTATTAATTAAACTTTGCATTATATTAATGACTGAAACAAAGCCAGAACAAGGCTTAAGAATGGAGTGTATTTGAAACATCTATATTTAATAAATTAACATTTATGTGCATACACAGAAGACCTTGAAATATAATTGTACTTTTCACAAAATGTATTAGGACTAGTAGAAATGGTATTTTCTTAGTTCCAAGGGGGTAGTATAACCTGTTTATACTACCAAAAGTTTATATCTGTAGGATGGATTTTGTCTTCTTTTAATCATGTCAGTGTGCTGTGGGGACTGTTTCTAACCTCATATAGAGATAATGTACAAAATTTAAATTTGAGGCTGTAACTGTGTGATCCAGCCACATGGGCTTGGGGAATAGCTGGAACGACATAATGTGGGATTGCTGGCTCTGGTATCCTTCTACGGGTACATACAAGGTCAGAGAATGGGCTTAACTGCCTGCCAGTTTCCTGGGCAGTGACTTGGAATTAGACTTGATCCTGTACCTCTTCCAGACTAGGGCAATTTAGTCAGTTGCTGGATTGGAAACATTTTTCTCTCTTTGCTTGGCATCTTCCCAAAGGAACTGCAGTAGCTATTCCCCCGTAAATATTACATGCAGTGACTTCAGTCTGAGAGGCGTTTAAAAGCCTTGAAAGGAAGTGGGTCCTGTGGCATGCAGTATTCTCAGGCTTGGGATGAAAGGACAATCAGCAAGGAGCACAGCCCACTTGAGATCCAAAAGAATCTAGACTCACCATGCCACCTAGCACCCTCCCTCTGTCTATCTGAAAAAGGTCATAAACTAAAACATCAGCTAGGTCTCAGGCAAACCCACAGGGGCATGGCTGAGCCTGAGCCTGGGAGCATTCATAGACTGGCATGCAGGACAGCAAGCAAGCTGACCTTGGGGAGTAAGTAGGAACATTAGACTTTGCAGCCCTTATCTGGTTAGAACAATGAAAGGCAAAATCTACAGAAATACTTATGTTTCTGTTCATTGGAACCAAACAGTGAGAGCCACCAGCAGCTTCGCTGGGCAGGATATAGGGCCAGATAGGGGTGCTGTGTATTGTCACCTTCGGCTTCTCCATTTCCTCATTTATCCCCAGCTACCACTTCCTCTTATATTTTCCTCCTTCGTTTCTCATCTCGTCTTTCTCCTCCTCCCTCTCTCTCTCCCTCTCTTCCTCCTCTACCTCCTTCTTCCTCTTTTCCTTTTCTCCTTCTTGCTTGTATCTTCAGGAACTGCTTCTGTTTTCCTGAATGGCTCCTCCTTCTCCTCTGCTCCATAATCTACCTCCCCTTTATCCTACTCCTTCACCTCCTCCTTTTTCTTCTCCACTCTTCTCACTTGTGAACTCAGGAAATGGCTAAAAGAAAGAGGTGAATGATTCCAGCCACATGTCCTGGCATTGTGCAGCATGACACCTAATGCATGCTTGGGAAGGGTCAGGGAAACCTTACTTATCTTTGAGTCAAGGTGGGAGCTGGTGGTGGCAGATGTATAGAGTCCCTGCCTGGAGAGACAGGGGTCCAAGTTACAAATTCCCACTGCTGAGTTGCCCTACTGATGGTAACTCTGTGAGAATAACATCCTTCCAAGTTCATTAGAGTGGGGTCTTTTTAAGCCATGGCAATAAAAAGGAGAAAATAAATCAAAATGAATCAAAAACTCCTGTGATCTCATCAAGGGGGAAGAACACATAACATTCTCATTCTTTTTATAGTGTGTGGATCAATTATTCTAATGCTTTTGAGTGAAAAAAAAAGTAAGAAAGGAAGGTATTGGAACAGAACCATAAATAATTTCCTTTTAGTTCAAGTACAGAACCTTCACATTGCTGTGCTTATGGGTATACAGACGATCAAGTGAACAGCTCC